CTGGCCGGCGGCGTGGCGCCGGCTGACTGCTCCCCCTTCGCTCCCGGCCCTGCGCTTCTCCATCGTCTCCCCTGCGTGTGTGGGGCGGCGGCGTACCGGAGAGCCGGGACGGGCCCTCGCCGCTCCCCAGCCGGCGGCTCTTGCTCTGAGGCCGCCCGTGCCCGCTCCGTGCTCGGCAGTGAAACCCTCTAACGCGGTTTCCCTCCCCTCGCGGCACCCGAAGAGGCTTGGTCAACAATACGACTTTAATCCCATTTTTCTGAGCCTCAATAAAAGGACTGGCTAATCACGTAATTACTGTGGTGCTGCCTGGTATGGAGTTTCCCACTGATCCCCGTGCGCTGCAGACCGCGCACTGGTGCTTCGGCTGGACTTGCTGGAATAGCCCCAAGTCTTCCCCAGTGGCCGGCAGTGCCCGGGAGGGGACCGGGACCGGGACCGGGGTCGGGGCCGAGCACGTGAACTCGCGGTTCCCGCCGAAACGATGGGCAGGGGCGCTGGCGTAGCTGGGTCTCCAGGCTCTGTGCATTTCGCCTTCGGAGCTAATGACCTCCTGAGGTGGACAGAACAGTTTGCATCTATTCGAGTTACTGTTGCAGAGTTTGGAAAGACAATTCTGGATCAATTTACTTTTTGTTTGTGACTTTTATGGTTTTATTTTCTATCTATAATCAACATAATTAAGTTCTGTTTATAAAAGTTTGTTTAAGCACAAGTTGTCTTTTTGAAAGAGAAATTTTGGCTAAGAGAAACCAAAGGCGACAAAAGAGAGGCCGCTTTCTTACCCATTAAAATAGTTACTGTTCTTTACTATACACACGTGAACATATCTATTGCCATATGTTGCCTGAATCCTTTTGTGAGATACAACAGAAAATAGTAATTTTATTATATATTTGAAGAATACAGTTTTTACTCTATCACTAACTTTTGAAAATGCTGGGAGGCAGAAAGTCTGCCTGCCTCACAGTTCATATTCTTAGAGGTGGTTTAAACGAACTTCCTGTCACTAATAGAAATAAGCTCTTAGTGAAGGTACATGCATGGTTTTGCTCGCTTATGCAGAGCTCTATGAAGAAACAAACATTTTTTTTTTTTTGTCTCCAGCGATTCTAAACCTAGACTGAATGGTATTGTATTTATCTGAGTCAATAGATGGGCTATTCCAAGGCCACTATGTGATGAGAGCATAATAAATGCACAGGATTGACAGCTGAAGTGCTGTTTCACTGGTAGTGTTCCCCACGAGTTTTCCATTCAGACTGAGGAATTCTTTCACTACTGCTGTTCAGCACCTTGTGGCAAGACCTCTCACCAAACATGGATTTTCAAGCGTTCTTGAGTTTTGATGTATATTCCTGCTGGTTCCTACATCTCACGTGGGAGCTGCCACTCACTGAATCTCCTGCTGTCTCTAGAAACCCCGTGCTTCAAGTGCAGTTTATTTTGCATGAGCAGCAGCTATGCTGTGGTGGGCTGCTTTTCCTTCTGTCCCCCCTAGATGATGCTGTAATAGAGGCTTCTTCCAGCCATCCTGATGGCCTAGCAGCAGACACTTGCAATAATAGATTTATTGTAAGATCTTGTAGAAATAAAGAAATGATTGGGTCATGGAATGGAAGAATAAAATGTACCTAGTGCTATTTCAAGGACCTCAGAAGACTAAATTGTTGAGGTGGTTCTTTGTTGGCCACTCGTTCCGCTTACTTGTTGAAACATATGTATGTCTATATGTTTTCAAATCTAAACAGCCTGCCTCACATCTGGTTCACAGCTGGTCTTTACACACATGCATACTTAGCCTCTCATTTACTGTGCAAGACATTGTTTTTTCTCTTCCTCTATCACTGGGATCATTGAACAGGAGGAGTGTAGGAAATAATGGAATATATCTTTGAAATATTGTGTCTTGTGTTTAGTGTGAGATGTTCACATTTGACTTCTTTCCATTGGTCCCCCACCTGCCAAAACAAAACAAAACAAAACAAAACAAAAAAGATATTTTACCTCAGCTGAGGCTGTCTGGTCTTCAGTTCTTCAGGGAAAAAAATTTACATCTTTGTGAGTCAGCTGGCTGAAGGTGTAAACTTGCTTTCTTTTCCTTGTTAGTTGTTTAGAAGTAATGTGATTTCAGGTTCTGTGTGAGGTTTGGTAGCAGTTTAAAAAAAATCAGTGTCAGTTCAAGCTAAGGGTAGTGTTTGTGTTTCCACTAGCTAGGAATTGTTCTGTCTGTGAGTCAAGGAAGGAATGTTGTGCTTCTATTCTTTCTTTTGCGGTGGTTGAATGAATAATTGGATACTTAGAATTTTAAGGGTAAGCACTGCTGGAGCAAGCTCTAGTGAGAGAAGAGTAAAAAGGGAAGAAGTAATGAGAGAAGTGAGACAGAGTAGAATCTGAAAAAGTATTAAGGTAAAGTAGAGAAGGTAAGGAAATGGTAAATTGAAAAAAAATTAAGAGACAAGATTGGTTAGTAAGAAGATAATAATAGAATTATTTTATTGAACTAGACAGACTAGGAAAACAATCTGAAAAGAAATTGGAAGTGGGGACAATGTGAGATGAAAATAAACAGCAATTATTAATAGCAGTTGGCTTTTTGATTTTGATTATAGGAAGGAACATATATATACACAGCAGCCTTACACATCTAGGTTTTAAATCAACCCACTCTTCCCAAGCCAAAATGATTTTCCATTAAAATAAACCAGTAGTACTAGTTTGGATTGAAAAAAGTGACGCTGTGATCCAGATATTTCTGTTCTTGCTGTGCACAGATGGGCTTAATATTGAAGTATCTAATGATGCTGATTTGAGCTAGAACTACTCTGATTTGGTACTGTTTCAGATTGGTTTGGGCTTCTGGAAGCAAGTCTTGGAGCTATTCATGGGAAGGGAGGTCCTGAAAAATAGATGTGCAGGAGAAACAAAGCAGCTGAGGTCCTGTCTTTCTGCCACCTGTTGCAGCTGGGACTAAAGTGTGGTAGCAGAAACATCCTACTGTTTCCTTCTCCTCTTAATAACAGATGATGAAAATGAAAGAGCGATTGCTCAACGTGTTGTGTGAGTTTGCAGGAGCTAAAATGTAGGCTCGAAAACAGAGTGATGGCCTGCTTGCTTTAGGATTTTTTAGGATACCAGATTTTTAAGCATTATGCCAATTCTGGGTCTCGTTATTACACATGGGCTCAAAAACTTCATCAATGTTGACAAAAACATTGTTGTCACTGTTCAGTCTTGCAAGTGGAAACTTGCATTGTGTCCTGTGCAGATTGGCCTAGCTTCGTAGATCCATGTCTAATGTCAAAAAAGCCTTGATAATTTTCTTTTTTCAGTGAAGTAAGTTTCATAAGTAGTTAGCTTCAGATGACAGAACTACTTCCTTTGTTTACAAAATACTACACCCCCACCCCCCACCCCTCCCCAACTGTACTGTTCTCAGTGAGTAATTCTTTGTGTTGGATGGTTATGTGGTTTTATGCTAATTAAAGAATTTCATTATTTAGCCTAATGTTTCTTTTCGTGTGTCTTAAAATTCTTGCCAGTGGGTATAGGACATGACAGACAGGTAAATGTTGCCGTGCTTGGAGAACGGTATGGACGATCTAGAAGGGAGCGAGGGAAGGGATAGATATGTATTGCCTTTTGGAAAGTGTATTCTCAATTGGCTGGTAAAGTTGGTATGTGAATGAAAGCTCATGGCTTCAGAACTATGTGCTTGCATCCCACTGAATTTTGATTTTAGTTATTCTTTCTTACAACTATGATACTAAACTTTGGCATCGCTTTCTGAAAGCTTTCTTCCATAGGATTTTACTCAAAGAATTGTCATTGGCAGGGTTTTGTCTGCAAGTTTCTGTGTTGTCCTGGTGAGCAGTCAGTGTCAGAGCCAGCTATCATTGTTTTTTTCTGTTTGACTTTCAGTTTATTTCAATTTATTGACTTCTCAATTGATTTAATAAATAATTTGCTTTTTTTCTTATTTACCTGGTATGTAGGTGTTTAGGAACAGCATGCCAGGAGTTTATACTGCGAGTTGTTGACATTGAAAAATAGAATCAAGAAATTGTCTTGCCTCTCCTGTGAAGTTTAATTGCATCTTTGTTTCCAAAAAACCTCCCCAAATATCCCATTGTATTTTGCACTTAGAATACTGTGATTTTTATGTATTAATTTTTACTGCTGTCTTGATTGCTCTCTGTTAGAACCCAAAGACAGGCATATTTTTGTCTGAAAGGAGGGAGTTTGTAACACCAGCTGTCAATAGTGTATTGCTATTCAGAACAGCATGTAAAGATTTGCTTTCATGTATTTAAGATAAATGTGTGAACCTGCTAAACTGGGTCCAGTGGAAAGTTACCATCAAAGCTGGTGACCTGGTTGTCTTAGTAGGGATGTGAAGGAATGAGGACTTCTTGATATCATACGATCCTCTGATCTCTAATGGCTGAAATTTTATGCATGGTGCATAATATTTTTATAAAATGTTCACTGATCACTTACTTATTTTTACAGCTACAGTTCTACTGAACCATTATTTAACTTTGGTTACCTTTTACATGGATTATACTCAACATTATCCTTACAGGCAAAACTGTCATGCAGAATCTTTTATGGCAAGCATGGCAGAGAAAAATTTGAGGATTGGAGTATTTGCATTGTAGAGGTACTTGAATATGCATCGACATAACTTCTTTTTTACTGTTGTGGAGAAGTTTGAACTGTTGCTCTTAGTATTTTGTGGATAAACGCTTGTTCTGTGAATAAATAGAGGACTCTAGTCTGGTAATCCAATACCTTCCTTGAGGTCTAACATTTATTAGAAAAAAAAAAAAAGGACTTAGTCAATGATTTTCTGCTATAAATTCCTTTGCATTCAAGAGCACAGTAGAGGAAAACTGTTTAAGAGAACTTTACCATGCTGTTGATTACTTGCTGCTCTTATTGGTTGGCTGTTAATTGAATGTGTGTTGTTTATTTTTACTAACACCCCTAGAAGCCCTCAGGGAATATTGAGTGTCACAGAGTGATAAAGCTAATATTTACTGAGCCCTTAAAACAAGAAGGGAGTGGTTGCTTATTTAATGAGGATCTAAATTAGTGTGTTGGAGAATATAGAACACTATGATATAGTCCGATGACATTTTAATCTGTGCTCTGGGTACTGGTTACTTTTCTGAAAAGGAAAATTTCCGAGAGAGGAATATCTGGTGTATTCCTGCAAGGTTCTTGTTCTTATGTACAAGGAGAGAAATATATTCCTGCAGTGTTCTTATTCTTATCTACATCTTTAAGGACATGACAGATTAAAAAGAATGTGTTTGTAATCTTGACATGCTAACTATTGTGACTAAAGGAATCAGTTCTACTGACTTTTTCAGTACTACAGTCTAAATCTGTATTGAATTTTATTTTGTGCATGTTAGTATTACTGTCTCATAGCTGTAGGCAGATGAATCTTCTGATTCATCCTCTGTGGTTTTTACCCTTTACACAGTGATGTAAATATATAAGCATATTTCTAGTTTACTCGCTTTTCCCCCATTTATTTATTTATTTATTTATTTATTTATTTATTTATTTTTAATCCTCTCAGGGCTTGAGTTCAGTAAAGTAAATGAAAACATTGCCATAGTCTGTAGCTGATTTTTTTTTGATTGCTTTCTAAACATATCATCTGATATCAAAATACCATTTATTATCTATGTATGACAGTGATAGGAATATAATTGAGATACAGAAATAAGAAAACAGTAAGTCTTCTGTTATTTACTTCACAGGTTATTTAATAGTTGAATAAATGTTTGCCTATTCATACTAGAGCTTAAATGCTGGAGCTCTGATGATCATGTTTTCATGAAAAAAAAAGAGTAAATTACCTTTTCCTCCTGTGTACATTTGACATTATTAACATAATTTAGATCTTTTTCCTAACCATTCTATTAATAGAATTTGCCTGTTCTCATTTTCAGAACTATTGGCATTATTTTGCTATTGGATTTTTAACTAAATGTACTCTAACAACAATTTCTAATAACAATTGATGTGACCCATCTCTTCAGGTCTTGATGAGCATAAAGCTGACAAAAAAATTCATTCTTGCTCATTTTGAGTTTTCTCAGACAGTGTAAAGGTTTTGTGAGGCTGTTAGGCTTTTTTTTTTTTTTTTCCCTAAATATGTAAACTCATATTTAGAATTTTTGTTTTTATGTTTTTGAATGTCATGTCAACAAGACATTTGTAAGTGTAATTTGGTGTAGGATGTATTTTATCTAGGTAACATTAATTTTTAATATAGTATTTATTTTTTTCCAGAACGGAAACTTTTGTATTCTTTATAATTGCATCTCTCTTTTTTTCCTTTCCTTTTTTTTTTTTTAAACCTTAGATTGTGGGGCTTTTATT